CAAGCCTATCAACCTGGAGTTGGTGAATGGCTGTAGTGAGTTTTCATATAAATTGCAGTGTTGATGCACTGTTTAAACAGCATCCATATTTTTTCACAGAAAAATTTTGCTMAGCAGCAGAGAAATTTGTATGTTATGGCAATTTGGGTGGGAATCTCAGTGGGATTTTGGGAGAAAATTTAGTTTGCAGTTGTGCACCTCAGTGTGGGCATGTTTGGTCTGACAAGCATTATTTTCACATATAAAATGCATTATAGGACATCAGAACTTGCTGTTTCATTAACCCTGACACTGCAGCATCGCATTTTGCTTTCCATGTACTAAATGGAAAAAGGAAAATATGGTTGTGTGGTAGTTTTTGCAGCAAAGAAAACCACTTAGGAAGTCATTGAAATGACACCAACCTGACAGAGCTCAAGAAGCATTTGCACAATACTCTGGGGCACATGGTGTGACTTTTGGGAATGGTGCTGTGGCAGGGCCAAGAGTTGGACTCAATGGTCCTCACGGTTTCCTTCCCCACAGAATATTCTGTGGTTCTGCCAGCTTTCCAACACCCGGACATCACTTACAGCTTGTTGAATGCTTGATTAGATCTCCCTTCCAGCCGACACAAAGGTCAAACAACAACAAACCTTTTCCTACGGAAATTTCCACACATTCCCAGTTTCTCCAACAAGGGAGCGGCCTGAGGGGACGGACTACATTTCCCGTGATGCTTTGCGCGGCGCGGCGGAAATACGTCATCCTCGGTGGCCGCGGGAAGGCGCCCGGCGTGCCCTCAGCATGGCGGCGATGCGAGCGCTGAGGGCGGCGGGGCAGCGGCGGCCGGGRCTCGGCCCCGCCGGGCTCAGGGCGTTCTGGGGCGGCCGCAGGTACCCGCAGGGCACGGGGGTACAGTAGGGGTGGTTTGTGGGCTGCTCTTCATGCTGGGCTTTCACCGGTTCGTGGCTCTCTGGAGGTCATTTAGCTCAGTGAGCGCGTCCCTAAGAATGGTGTTGAGGTGGCTTCGGAATGTCCTKAGGGAAGGAAACTCCGCAGGTTCTGTGGGCAATAAGCGCTCACCGAGGTGCATCGCTGACGGGAGGGTGTGGTGGTGAAGGGTTGGGGTCTTTACAGCTGTTACTGTTGTTGTTAGGAGTGGGGAAAAGAGGGATTTCACGGGAATGAAAAATAGCAGTTTGTCTGTAACATTTTATATTAAATTGCCCATAGGTTGTTGACCAGACTGTGGCATACGAGAAAGTTAGATTTTCTAATTAAAACCAGTGATTTTATTTTTTTTAATGATTTTTAAATTATTTTAAATTATTTTTTAAATTATTTTTTAATTATTTTTTAATTATTTTTTAATTTTTTTCACATCTGGGCACTGTTTTCCTTCTATAGTAGTGGTTATCTTCTGCTACGCTTTTTATTCACAGCAAATTAAAAAATGGAGCCGTACCCGAGAAAACAAATAATTAATGTGGTTAAAACGCTGTTTCCACTCAGAGCAATGAAATGAGGTGGGTGGGTGATTGCTCTGCAGAGGCAGGATTTGGGGAAAACCAAACCCTGTTCCTCAGGGATAACAAACCTGCTGTGTCCATATGTGAGCACGGATTGAGTCTGATTTAAAACACCACAAATACAAACATGCTCTGACTCTGARTATCCCAGAGCCTGAAAAAATTTTCTCTTCTGGCACCAGCAGGAAGGAGGAAAAAGAAGCAGAAGCAGACAGAGCAATTGCTGAGAAGGAGGAGAGGAACGAGCCCAGCCTGATCTGYCCCCCACCCCGCAGCCGGAATTATGTCCCTCCTGAAAACCTTCAGAGCTTCCTCGAATCCCACGTCAGGGAGATTTTTGGTCCCTCTCTCGCCCAGGACTGGCAGCAAACCCCACTGCAGGAGAACAGGCTGAAGTATCACCTGCTGGCCCGGCTGGCAGCAGAGCTGGGACACGCTGTCCCCAATTCCCAGCTGCACCAGATGCGCCGTGCCGGGGATGTGCTGGGYTTCTATCGCATCCCCGTGAAGGACGAGAGCAAATTCGACGAACTGGCGGCTGCAGAGCTGCCCCCRAACCTGAAAATCGTGTGGAAGCGATGAATCCCCCGCCAGAAATCATCCCCATGTCTGGTTTGTGCTGCAGGGCAGCTCTGTTTGGGGTGAGATGTGTGGATTTCATCAATAAAGGTTCACTGAGCTGTGCTCAGGTTTGTCCTGCTTTTTTTTTTTTTAATTCCTGTGATTCCTGCCAGCTGCTTGCTTCCCTTTCCCTGCTGGATCTGGTGGGATCCACAAGAGGACCAACCCCACAGTTTTTACCCTGCACCTCTTTTTGAGGTTTTTACTGGGGTAGAATTAATTTT